ATCATGAGACAGGAGTGGAGCGTCTCATTTCTACAATGTTTCATATGAACACACATTACTTTAATAATCATCATTGAATAAACCCAACAATCACCTGTAAAAGTACATGTAAACGTGTGGATTTAGAATGATTTATACCAGAAGCACATGGATCCACATGTTTTTGACATGTGTTTTCACGGGTCAAATGTGAATCGTGCTTCAAACCGGAATCGCATGTGAAAAGGTGCATTCATGTTTTCACATCTAACACACATCTTCACATGTAACACCTATTTTGCACACGATTCTCGTCTTTTTCACATGTGACTCGTACGCTTCAAATGGTAATGCCGTAAAAACATGTGCATCACATGTGATTCAAGTTTTTTATGTGATACTTCAGATAGGAGTCACATGGGAGAAAATCTTTTTCACGTGATCCCAATGTTTGCCTCATTGATGCACATTTCAAATAGAAATTACATGAAAATGTGTTTCACATGTGCTTTTTACATTAAATGTTCAAATCAGCACTTCAATCTGAGTCACATGTGAAAATATAAATATCGCATTTGATTTACATGTTCTCACATGTGAGAAACTTATTTTCACGTGATCCCAATGTTTGCCTCATTGATGCATGTTTCGAATAGAAATTACGTTTAAACATGTTTCACTCACGTTTTTTTACATGAAACGTTTCAAATCAGCACTTCAATGTGAGTCACATGTGAAAACATGCGTATCACATTTGATTTACACATTTTCACATGTGATTCCTATGTTCTTCAGAATTGATACACGTGTTTCGAATGGCAATTACCTAAAAAAAAACATATTTTTTTAACGTGCTGTTTATATGAAGCATTGCAAATCAACACATACACATGTGCTTCAAATAGGAATCATAGGAAAACATTTGCATCGCATGTGATTCAAGTTGTGATACACATATTTTCACATGTAGTACATAGTGTGGTTAATCCCATTTACTATGGGGTGTAAATCACATCCATCATGGCGATTCGATTCAGTATCGATTTCCTGACCCAATGATTCGATTATTTTTGATACGCAAGAATACACCATGATACAATTAGATTCGATTAATTGGTTCATTTTATTTTTTATTTTTTTTTACACCTTACAGGCTAGACAATGTTTTAAATTTGAAATAAAACAATGAAAGCTGTAATATCATTATGCATTTTTTTTTAGAAACAACAGCAAATAACAGAAGTAGAAAAGTTGCACTCAATCTATTCCTATTAAAACCTCATTCACTGAAAATTAATAATACTCCTGCGTAATAGATTCTGAAAGGCTTAGCATAAAAAAAAACTGCACAAAATCAGTGCAATTCAATACCTCGGCTCCAGACGTCCCGCCCCCTCCACAGACGCTCAGCTGCTCCTCTCCCAAATTGTAGCTGACCGCAGACAGGAGGTCGGCTTGTTTTGTTTTTATGACCGAAATTGCGGAAAACAACTCGTGAAGTTTGACCCGAGGTGTGCGAGAACGCTGGGACCCTTTTTCCACCTGGATCTCCGCTCTTTTTGGCCCTCATGTCGGACTTAACTCGCCCCCACTTCCTCGCCGCCTCGGCCATATCTAGACCCACAGCGTGTAGCACAGACCAAGCTTCAATATTGAGCATAATTTAAAGGAATAGTACACCCAGAACATGATTAGCCTTCATTTTCTACTCACCCCCACG